TAAAGACAATCCAATTTGAAGAAAACTTTAGTATAATGTTACCATGCTGAACGAGGAACTTTCCCTCTCGAAAACCCGGCCAAATTGAATTGAACAAAGGTGTAACGAATAAAAATTTTGATTTAAAGCTTTCGTGACTGCAGGGATTCATATTCTTGATTCTTTCGGTAAAGTCACGTAGAAGGGAAACAATAAAATACAAAAATATATATAGGTGTGGTGTGGTTTTCACACCTGATGATGATTGCTTGTGTTGCAGTCGAAACGTCGTGAGAATTGTATTGTTTTATATATTTTTTTAATTATTATTTTATTGTTTCCCTTCTACGCGACTTTACCGAAAGAACCAAGAATATAAAGGTGTACCGGCTTGCGTTTGGGATCCATCCTTGACTCTGAGCCCGTTCTGCAGCAGACTCAATAGCGGTGTTGTTGTTTCAGAGAGCCTACTTCAATGTGTGATCAATGTGGGATCAACGCACATTCGTGATGGACTGGACTCTTAAAAGTGCACAAGAACAAATGTTCTTACTTACTTACTTTTCTCCAAATCCTTCGAGACACAGAACAGGGCAAAAGGCTACTGGCATCGTCTTCCGCGCCGCCGCCAAAATGTACTCCTTTCGAAGGAAGGACGTGCGCCAGCTAAGCATTACGTCGTGATCCCTGCGTGCGCGCGTGGTTTTTCGTAGTCCTCATTTCGTGTTGTGTAAGAGAGAGCTGAGTGCCCAGAGAAAGGACTTGCTTGTTATTTTGGTGGAAAAATACCCGTAGCAGGTCACTCGACAACCTTGTGTGACTGCACTGCCACGCGACTGTGTGTCGCATGCAATTGGTGATCTCCGTCTAAACGTCATCCAACAACCCCACCAACTGAGCCTCTTGAACGTGGCCGTGCACCACCACCACCGCTCTGCGAGTCACTTGGTCGTTATCGTCACCGTCGTCATCAGACTTTGTCCACTGCTGGATGAAGGCCTCCCAAAGGCTGGCGTCCGTCGCTCGCGTTCCTGCTCCGGCGCGATCCGCCTCGCTCCTCGTGCGCATGGATTGATGTGGTCAATCGAGCGCTTGGCTTGGTCATCCTCGCGGGCGCATTCTCTATTCTTCTTCTTTGCCACTGGCCGTTTGAGTGCTGTGCACCCAACACATTCGTCAATACCACCGTGGGATTGAAAGGGAAAAAATATATATATAACAGGCGATGTTTCGGGCAACGGCCCTTATTCGTAGCACGTGAATGAACGGTGCTATGAAACGGAACCATTGCCTGGAACGTCACCTCAGATACAGTGAGGGAAAAAAGTATTTGATCCCCTTCTGATTTTGTACGTTTGCCCACTGACAAAGAAATGATAAGTCTATAATTTTAATGGTAGGATTATTTGAACAGTGAGAGACAGAATAATAACAAGAAAATCCAGAAAAACGCATGTCAAAAATGTTATAAATTGATTTGCATTTTAATGAGGGAAATAAGTATTTGACCCCTCTGCAAAACATGACTTAGTACTTGGTGGCAAAACCCTTGTTGGCAATCACAGAGGTCAGACGTTTCTTGTAGTTAGCCACCAGGTTTGCACACATCTCAGGAGGGATTTTGTCCCACTCCTCTTTGCAGATCTTCTCCAAGTCATTAAGGTTTCGAAGCTGACGTTTGGCAACTCGAACCTTCAGCTGCCTCCACAGATTTTCTATGGGATTAAGGTCTGGAGACTGGCTAGGCCACTCCAGGACCTCAATGTGCTTCTTCTTGAGCCACTCCTTTGTTGCCTTGGCCGTGTGTTTTGGTCATTGTCTTGCTGGAATACCCATCCACGACCCATTTTCAATGCCCTGGCTGAGGAAAGGAGGTTCTCACCCAAGATTTGACGGTACATGGCCCCATCCATCGTCCCTTTGTTGCAGTGAAGTTGTCCTATCCCCTTAGCAGAAAAACACCCCCAAAGCATAATGTTTCCACCTCCATGTTTGACGGTGGGGATGGTGTTCTTGGGGTCATAGGCAGCATTCCTCCTCCTCCAAACACAGCGGGTTGAGTTGATGCCAAAGAGCTCCATTTTGGCCTCATCTGACCACAACACTTTCACCCAATTGTCCTCTGAATCATTCAGATGTTCATTGGCAAACTTCAGACGGGCATGTATATGTGCTTTCTTGAGCAGGGGGACCTCGCGGGCGCTGCAGGATTTCAGTCTTTCACGGCGTAGTGTGTTACCAATTGTTTTATTGGTGACTGGTCCCAGCTGCCTTTATATCATTGCCAAGATCCTCCCGTGTAGTTCTGGGCTGATTCTTCATCGTTCTCATGATCATTGCAACTCCACGAGGTGAGATCTTGCATGGAGCCCCAGACCGAGGGAGATTGACAGTTCTTTTGTGTTTCTTCCATTTGCGAATAATCGCACCAACTGTTGTCACCTTCTCACCAAGCTGCTTGGCAATGGTCTTGTAGCCCATTCCAGCCTTGTGTAGGTCTACAATCTTGTCCCTGACACCCTTGGAGAGCTCTTTGGTCTTGGCCATGGTGGGGAGTTTGGAATCTGATTGATTGCTTCTGTGGACAGGTGTCTTTTATACAGGTAACAAGCTGAGATTAGGAGCACTCCCTTTAAGAGTGTGCTCCTAATCTTAGCTCGTTACCTGTATAAAAGACACCTGGGAGCCAGAAACCTTTCTGGTTGAGAGGGGGTCAAATACTTATTTCCCTCATTAAAATGCAAATCAATTTATAACATTTTTGACATGCGTTTTTCTGGATTTTCTTGTTGTTATTCTGTCTCTCACTGTTCAAATAAACCTGCCATTAACATTATAGACTGATCATTTCTTTGTCAGTGGGCAAACGTACAAAATCAGCAGGGGATCAAATACTTTTTTCCCTCACTGTGTAAGTTTTTCCTTTTCAGGCCACAGTGTTATCAACGAATGTGTTGTCTTTTTTTGGTTCGCTGTGCTTGTCAATGCAGCAGCATCACCAGCATCATTTAATTTAGTTTTTTAGTTTAGTTTTAGTTTCATTTATTTGGTATATAGCCCTGTGAGCCATTCGGTTCTTGAATCGGGTGCAACCGCAACAAACAAAAAAACAAAAACATGAACAAGAAAACATCTTAAAGTGACTAATTTGAAGACTGTGTGTGGATTGTTACATCGCAGGATTGTTGAGAGGTTGTGGTGGCTTGGGTTTAGGCCCTCATCCAGTAGTGTATTTACCAAAGCTAGTGCAATTGAAGATGATGGTGATGATGATAGAGTAATGCAAGTGGAATGAAATTAAGTCACGCTTGAGTGATCCAGCGGTTTCTTTCTGTTTAAAGTGTACTTTTGTTCAACTCGGTGAGTTCCCTTATTTAAATGCTGATACAGTTCCAAAGACCACACGCTTGTTAATAAGTGCCTCCAGAGGTTAGGTCAATAGGGCCCATATGGCTCGTGCTACGGAGGGAAAACGTGAAGGTGTGAATCAATAATTTATTAGAAGGCGCGCAAACCCGTGCTTTCTTGGCACGCAACTTTTTTAAGGAGTCCTATTTTTCCCCCCCCTGCTCCCTCCGTTTTTTGTTGCTCAAATCGACACCGTCGGTGTCGCAACGTCACGGGGGGAGAAACATGTTCCGCCTGGAGCTCGCGCTCGAACAGCGAGCAGTCGCCCGTTGGAGAACGGCCCGTGGAATGTGGTGTCGCGGAACTTCGTCTGAGATCCGTGAAGTTATCACCACCTTTTAACTACATTTAGCGAACACTGTAATTTACCACGTCCCCCTGCACAGATCATTTTTCGCTGCATGGCAGTCAAACTAATCCAGTTAATTCTCAGAGCTGGAATTTTGGCATAAATGAAAAAAAAAACGAATTCAAGAGGAGAGGTAATAAAAGTTACGAAAATAATAATATTGAATCAGAATATCCACTTGTATCGCGCCGCGTAGTAATTGTTCACTCTCGCAGAGAGAGAGAGAGGCGTGGGGAACCGCAGGCAAGCGGGGGAAGGGGTCGGGGGGGGGCAGCCACCCGATGAGCCGGCGCTAGCAATTGTCTCAAGCTCTGCGGTCCTCTGTACATTCGGGATGTTACCGGCAAATAAATGCGAATGTGATTTACACGTGGGAGGAATGCGGAGTGCCCGGTGAAAGCTCATGCATGCGACGGGACAATGCCCATGGGCAGGGAATTTTGGCAGCGTTTCCACAAGTGCTGGATTACAGGCCACGTGCATGGCCGCCACCACCGCCCGGCTACAAATGTCACGTAAAAAAGATAGAATACACGGAATGCTGTGAGACGATTTTGAAAAGCTTTGAGAAGTGAAATCGTCGAAACACAAAACAAAGATTGTTTAAGATGTCAGAACAAGCGATGGAAGCATAAAAGTAGCATAATGGGGGGTTGGATGATTGGTATTTCACAAATATCCTAGGGCAGAAAGATGGAATCATAACCCATGTTAGGGAGAGAATGTGAGAATTAGTGGTAGGAATGTTATGCATGTCTCTGTATCACAAAAAGGTACGTATCCCAGGAATAAAACCATTTTTCACGGGAAGTGGAGGAAGTTCCAGATGTCACACCTTACTAAATATACAGAGCATTATTATTGTATTATGTCTGATACATTTCAGTAAATATTGTCTGTGATTCTGAGGTTGAAGTGAATCAGTGGTGCTCATTGCTTCTCTTTCCTCGTCATCATCCTGCTCCTCTTCGTCCCTTCCTTCGATTCATCTTCCACCACTCCTTCTGTCCCTTCTCATTTTCATTCCCCAATCTATTTTATCTTCCTCCATTCCCTCCTACTTCTCATTCTCTTCCTTTCCCTCTCCCTCCTTTTCTTTTAACCCTCTTCCTCATTCCCCTCCTCATCCTTCTCATTATCCTATCACTGCCTCTCCCCACCCTCCTCACCCTCCTTCCACATCCCCTAATCTTCCTATCCCTCCTCCCCCCCCCCTCTCTCTTCCTTCTCATCTCCCTCTTCGTTCACCACCGGTACTCCACAGGTGTACGTGAATGTCGAGCTGGTGACGAGCATCGGCGAGGGCGGCAGCTTCGGCGAGCTGGCGCTCATCTACGGCACGCCTCGCGCCGCCACCGTCAAGGCCAAGACTGACCTCAAGCTGTGGGGCATTGACCGCGACAGCTATCGCCGCATCCTCATGGTAAGAGGCCTGATGGGAGACCTGGTGATTAGCCTGGTTAGAGGGCCGGTGATCGGCCCCTTGAGAGGCCTGGCGAGAGGCCTGGCGAGAGGCCCGGTGAGAGGCCCGGTGAGAGGGCGATGCCATTGTGCACAGCCATATGATCTATTTCACTAAGACCAGGCACAGTGATATAATTGGAAGTGACAACGCGGGAAAGACATATCGCGATTCGCTTTTGCCTCTGTTGCTTCAGGTAGGCTCGCTAAGACGCTTTGGCCAGCGATCTTAGGGAACCGCTGGTTCATTCAGGTGGCAATGATGACTACCACTCCCCTCGTAAAAACCGCTCCATGTGGATCGAGTTTTTGTACACTCCTGGCAGTGCCTTGCCATGTCGCCACCCTCGCCCTTCATGTGATAATAATTGTGAGTTATTTAAGCAAGTACCCAAGAAAGTGTCGATGAGTTTCAATACTATTTTCAAGAAAGTCCTGCATTGGGATGTTTGAAAGCTTTCCATTTTAATGAGCATGTCGCATCGTGTGGGTGACAAGGGGACCATCCAGAGAAGCGCGCTCCCCACGCGAGGAGATGGCGCTTCAGAGGGTCCCCACGGATGGGTTCACAATCCCACTTGCTGTGCCGCCATCTCACGCCCACCGCAAGCGGAGGGAAGCAAGCGTCGGCCTGGAGTGGTTGGCATCATCGGCATTTGCCTCGATGTGCCACCTTGGTCTTGCTTCCCATAGCTCTGCATCACTGGCATATGCACGTATGGATCGCGCACTACTTAGTCGCCACCTCGCCGTACGTGTTCATATTAACGCCGCGCGATGATGGCCCTTTTGGATATATGACGGGGGGGGCAGGGGGCAGCCGGTAGAAGGCTTGCATTCACCACAAATCGCCACCTCCCTTCCCAAAACAAATAAACCCTTCCTGTTTTTGCGCGCGCCGCTAACGCACGTGTGTGCGCGTTGCGCCACCGGCGGCGGTGGTGGCATCCGTTCATCGGCCGTCTCTCACGACGAAGCGTGCACCCCTTGTGCGCACGCACGCGCAACCCTTTCATAAATGATCCTGGCCATCGCCTCCGTAAGCCAGCCAGCCTCTCACCCACCCCACCCCAAACCCCTCCGCTCCGCTCCTACGACCTCTTCTTCCACCGCCGCACAGCCTGCTTGTGTTACCCAACTGCATAATGGGCTCCTGTATCACGCCACTGCCCAGCCGGGGCGTGCGGCAAACGCATTCACGGCTACAACGCACGCCTTGAGCCGTGTTCTGCATTGGCTCGCAGGATGAGATTAAGGTGTGTGACCGGGTGGCCTGGAGGTCAGAGTCGGCATCCGAAGAATCGGAATATTTTGTTCATGCTGGAGGAATCCCGTGAGCGATAAAGCTCTTTTTCACAGATGTCCTGTAGGGGCGGGTCAAAGTTTACATCAATTGAGCCCCCCCCCCCCCCCACCGCACCGCCTTGGTTCATTTCCGGGTTTCGACCACCTATTTGTTGAGATTGAGTTCTCAAGTGTAGCGAGTTGATAGATCATGGACCAAATCACCAACGGTGATAAATGGGTTTTGTTTTTTCGCTTTTAATTTGGAAGAATCTTCAGAGCGACACAAAACCACAGATGTTAGTTTTACTGTCATGTGAGTGGATTCCGTCTCTCGTGTGGCTTGTGGAAAGTGCTACTGCCCCGAGTGTAGGGTGACGGATAACTTAGAAGAGATCTCGAAAGTCATTCTAGGATATGACCACGTGCAAGGCCGCTCTCTAACGTGGGCCAATGGTGCACTGCTCTGTGAGACGAGACAAGACAAATCATTAGCATTATTGTGTAGATAACAAAATTGATAAGCAGGCAATGTCAACTTTATATATCTCTCTGTCCACATGAAACATTTTAAGTGTTTTTTTGTGGCGTGTAGAATCTGCGTGGACAAATATTCATCTCGTGCCAGGGCACCGACAGCGCAATTTGACAAAAAATTGCGAGGGGAGAAAAAAAAGAATGAAAAGGATTAAGTTCGTGAGCTGTCAAAACCGTGAGCTCTGTGCAGAAGGAGCTGGTTACATAATCTCGCCACGAGCTGTTGGTTTGTCAGCCACTGCCACCACCATCAAGCCCAAACGGCCGTCCATCGGCAGGAGTTTTGCGGTGCGATGTTCGCCTAAAATGACTGCGAGTCAATCGGTTGGCAACCAAGCAGAGGGGGCGGCGGGGGTGGGGGGCTTGCGAAGTACATCCGATATTTCCTGAAAATTAAAAAGTCGCCCGAAACTTTCTCAGTCTGCTTGACACACTCTCCTGTGTGTGTGTGTGTACGCAATGCACACGCACGCACGGCCATAATCTCACCACCACCACCCGCCACCCCTCCCCTGCTCCTGCCTATTGACAGTTTTTCGCAGATTGCAGGAAAAATATTTGCCCGGTTTAAACATACTCCGGTGAAGATTTAGAGCTGTAATGGTATTTGTCCACTTATTAAACTCTGGCTGTCACCTGCTGTAGCAAGCTGGCTATCGGGCAGAAGGGCTCACCAGATAGATCGGAATGTTACCACTTTATGGGTTTATCTGCAGTGCATGGGCCAGATTTTGCTGAGCCATTTGTATACCCTTATAGCCTTTATAGGATATCCCAGGGCTCCAATCAGTGCCAGCAAAGCCACGAACAAACAGGGCATTAAAAGTTTCCCACAGCAGGTGCGGTTATGGCCGGTTATTGTTGGTCGTTGTAAATAAATCCCATGATCCCGTTGCCACACTTCAAACTTTACTTGGCTCACTTACCGCTCAGTTACTAGCGAATTGGGACTCACCCTTGTGAGGTTGTGCATTCAGCTCCTGTGGCTAATGTCAAGTTTCATTCCTCAAAATCACCAGCCATGAATAAGCATCAAGATCCACGATTGATCTTAACCGCTGCCGGTGGAAGGCCTCTCCAAGCCACCGCCATCTTCTCCTGCTCCCCTGTGAGCACCTCCTGCAGGCGAGCAGATTTCATCGCTCCATCTCCGCGGATGGGCGTCCTCCGTTGTTATTCTCGCTCATCAGAGAACCACCCCTTCTATCCCTTCCCCCATTCCTCCAGGGTTTAGTAAAATATCTGAGGACAGGCCATGAACCCCACGTGCTGCCATGGCATCTCTTGCACACATCTTGCGGCCATTGTGGACTCACTTCACATGAGTGAGACTTGTGTGCTTTGCGTGATCCACCAACCCTGCCTGCATGCAACCGACCATGCCCAGCCACCATAGGCAGGAGGGTTCACATGCATTCTGAAGGTGTCATCCGCAGTGCTAAGATGCATGGTGAATAGAATGGGGGGACGATTATAGGGGTAGCCACCGATGTTAGCCGTGGCGTGGGATTGGAACCCACGTTGCCGGGTTCGCAGAGCGACGCGCTATCCCCACCGGATAGCGCCACCAAAAACCTGACCGTACGCGCCCTTCTCCCGCAACCAGCGGTCGCTAAAGTTTTGGTTTTCACACGGGAGGCCGCGTGGCCTGTTGGCCAGTGGCGATATGTGGTGGTTCAGAGAGAGAGTTCGCCTTTTGTTTTACTTGCACTAAAAGTAATTTTTTTTAGCTCTTTTTCAGAAGCAACCTCGCCACAAATCATAGCTCAACGTAGCGGCTTATCACGTCGAAATTTCTACCGGTCAAAAACTCCAAACGCACGTTGATTCTAAATGTGGTGGGAAAAACCGGGAGGACCCGGAGAAAAATCCACGCGACCACGGGGAGAGACACCGCAAACGCCCAATTATTGAACAGGCTTCAGGGTCGGGATCGAACCCACGACATGCTGTATATGGGGCGAGGTAGTTAACATCTCACCACCGTGGCGCCCCTTTGGTGAAATCCCAGCCGGCTCACACCCCAGCCAACCTGAGCCCGTGGACGTTGTTTTTTTGCGGAACGGCCGCCTTTCCTGCATGTAACCAGAAAACGTTGTTTTCTTTGGAATAATCACCGGTATTAGATGACAAACACTAACACACTTAACTAAAATAAATAATGGCCAGGAGAGCTGCTTTTCATCCCCCCGGAAAGAAAAAAAAACGAGCAAGCGTCGACTGAGGCTGCAGTTTCTTGCAGGATTTGACTTGACTCCTGCCCCGTAACCTGTCGTGGGTTGCACGAGCTGTGGAATTTGCCAGCACTGCGGTGTAGGAAACCCATTAGTGGCCTCCAGTGTATGTAAACATGGCACTGTGGACCTGGGAAAACAAATGGTTTGGTCATTGGTGGCTAATAGCGTATACGTGTGTGTGTGTGGTGTGTCTGTTCATCCCTGTGTCACTTTTGTTCCTCTCTCCTCTGTTGTGTTTGTGTGTGTGTGTGCGCTTTGTGCGTGTGAGTGGTGTGAGTGTGGGGAGTGGTAGTATAGCGGTTAGTATACCGCACTACGAACCCAGAGATGCGGGTTCATTTCCCGCTCACGGTCAACACCAGTGACGAATATTTGAATCGGTCCTAGGCCTCCCCTAGGTCTATTCAGCCTCAATTGAGTACCTTTTGTGATGTGTAAACATCGCCACTAAGTAGACAAAGGCGGCCCGGCGTCGTGCTGGCCACCCACCCCCTCGTGTGCCGTGGCCGACCTTCATAGATGCTGGCTTACAGCACTTGCCCCAAAAAGTCTGTTTAGGCTGTACGGGGGATCTTTGTCTTTGTTGTGCGAGCGGTGGCAAATTGGTGAGCGCGCTGCGCTACGGACTGGGGAGACAAAGATGGCTGGACGTGGTACTGGTCACACACTGCCACCTTGGATGCTCTGACGGCCTTTATTGGTTCTCGAAAAGAACACTTGCCCCAAACAGCCTGTTGGGCTACACGGTGGACCTTTGTACATGTGCATAGTTGGTGGTTGGTGTGGCTTGTACTTCACCATGTCACGTGATTCCTGCCTTCTCTGTGTCTGTGTGCATGCACATGTGCTTTCGTGTGTGTGAGTGTGCGTGTGCGCAATTGTGGGGAGCGGTGGTGCAGCGGTTGGCACGCTGCGCTATGAACCCGGCGACCCGAATTAGATTCCCGCTCACGGCCACCACTAGTGACGATTATCTGAACCGGTCCTGGGCCTTTCCTAGGTCCACTCAGCCTCAATTGAGTACCTGATGCTATGTGTATATATCGCCACTGGGGATATGAAGGCGGTTGGGCGTGGTGCTGGCCACCCACCCCCTCATGTGCCGTTCAGGCCTGCATAGGTGCTCGCTAAACAGCACTTGCCCCAACGGTCTAAGGCGATACGGGGAATCTTTTTGCAAGATTGTGGACATATTTTTGCGAGGTGTGTACTTGCGCGTGTCAATGAAAACGTGGACGTGTGTGCATGTGTAAGTGTGTATCCATAATCATCTGAACGCTGGCACAACTACATCTCTAGGTGTCTTCACGCTGGTGGCTTCTGTTGTGCATACCTTCCTGTGTGTGTGTCTGGCTTACCTATGCTCCATCCTGGGTTTAACCAGACTGGATTGTGTGAGGAGCTCACAAATCCTTGAAAGATCTGGACAGTCCCATCAGTGAGCTTCTCTTGCAGTCAAGGCTGCGTTGACTGGGTCATGTAGCCTGCATGCCCTTCCACCACATGCCCAAGCAGATTCTGTTTGGTCGGATAGAGGGGACTAAACGGCCGCGGCATGGGCTGGTTAAGAGATGGACTGGTGTGGTACCGGAGGATGAGTGGATTTACCGAAAGCTGGTCCCAGTGGTGTCCTCTGGGGGAGGAGGTTCGTGAACAACGCTCCTGGGCAGTTGAGGGCAATTGTTCTCCATCAATAATGGAGGGCAGAGGAGCGAAAAGGCAGCAAATTGGTACAGTGGGGAACACAGGTGGTGCATCTGCTGGTCGTCTTAGCCAACACATGGCACCTGGGTCTGTCCCGTGACCTCCTGGCAGCAGCGAGCCTTCGACACTTCACATGGCCTCAAGGTGATCCTAACCTGACACCAGCACCGGGCTTGCTGCTCTTGCGTCTCGAGCACGCACGCACGCAAGCACGCTCGCTCACTCGTGTGTGTGTGTGTGTGTTTGTCCCGCGAGTAACCCCCCGCACGCTTGGCTTTGCCGGCCCACAGGGCAGCACGCTGAGGAAGAGGAAGATGTACGAAGAGTTCCTCAGCAAGGTCTCCATCCTCGGTGAGTATCATACCAACACCCCCCCCTTCGCCGGCCGCCGTTTGTCACGTCTGGCGAGCCGACGAGCGTCCGGTTTCCACGCCGCTAATTCACGGCCGGGCTTGGCCTCGGTCCTGTTTCAAACGAGCCGGCTCAAAAAGTCGCACGCTTAACTGCAGCCGGCTCAGGGCGTTGTACCGAGCTGCGCTCGGGATTTCTCGCGAGCCGAGCCTTGGGCAGGAACGCCACGGCCGAGCGGCTCAAGGCATGTGCTGAGCCGTGTTGGAGACACCAACTGCAGGGCCGTGCCGCCGCTAAGAATACAACTTGCCGCTGTGTCGGGGCGAATCGTAAACAGGAATCTGTCTCCCGCGCGTGTAATTTAACTCGTGACACTTTTGGCACGCGTCATCTTCGACCGGCGAATGTGTTTTTGACGTGAAGCCCAAAGTGACTTGTACTCGAGACTAAACATTTCGAAGCCTCTCCCGCTCTCGCAGCGGCGGGCGTCCAGACGCGCGCGCGCACGCAAACGCACCAGGGCTGAGTTCGGACGCGGAGCCACACACGCGCGGTGTGACGGCCCCTTTGATTTGCCCAAGGGGTCTTCCGATTAAATAATAATACCGACTATAATCACCCAGGAATGTCCTTAACGCTCGTGACGTCACTGCACATCGACCATCTCCCCCTCATTAATATTCATGAACAGTTGACGTCCTCCAAATGGACACCCCCCCCCCCCCACCACTCATTCATAATCATGAGCGGGTGACATCACTCAATATGGAGTACTCCCCCCCCCCCCTCACTAATAATCTTAATCATGATCAAGTGACGTCACTCTACATCGAACGGCCGCTGTCATTCATAATCATGAGCAGGTGACGAAACGCCACATCGAACAGCCCCCCTCATTAATAATCATTAACAGGCGACGTCCTCCAAATGGTGACCCCCCCCTCCATTAATAATAATTAGTGGCTGACGTTACTCCACATGGGGGGCCGAGGCGCCTCCCCCCCCCCTCCTCGGCGTCAACTTACAACCCTCACTACAAAGGTAGGACCACTCTTTGGTTCTTTCGGTAAAGTCACGTAGAAAGAAAATTTTAAAAAGGCAGAACCGTCACGTCACGTGATCTCCGTAACGCTATTGAGACACCAAAGTAAAAAGGACGTCATGATGAACAAGGGATTTCACCTTAAGATGAAATAGGTCTTTGTGACCGCGCCCTTACAAATTGCCCACGCATTAATGCAATGAATATATCACATCGCGGTCTGCTTTTCGCTTGCAAGTTTCAGATTGATTGCAATACACCCGTCCTTGGACGAGCAAAAGGCTAGTACTTTAATGTTCTTTGGAGCAACTGGCTTTTGTCAGAGTCATATAGAATTGATCACGCTGCCTCTTTGCCTATTTGGGTTTATTCCTGTGGCTGCGGGGGTCAGAGCACCTGAAACCTTGGTCTAGCATGCTTGTGGGAGTCATTAAAAATCAAAAAGTACTACTTTGTGAGAAGTGAATCATAATTACTCTGTGGAGCCATGTATTTCTTCCAGAATTATTTATATACATATAATTTTACCGCCAGCATGGGAATGTGGAATGTACACTTGGCTTAGGGCTGTGACGGGTATTTGAGCAGGAAGATATTTCAGCCGGCACCATCTCCCACAGTTCTGCGATGTAGGAATCCATTTAGCGGCCACACGCTCTGCAGCACGGTTTCATCGCTCCGTCTCCGCGGTGAACGTCCTCTTGGGCGTTTCCTTTTTTTGGCGACCACTCCCAACGTTGGGCTTGCCCAGACGTGCGCGCGCACACACACACACACAGTCCTCGGTGAGCTGAGCGCTAATGAAACACGGCCATTCTTGTGCGGTCGCTTCATCACACGAGCGCGTGAGATGTGCACAGGAGGTCGGAGGAGGCATTCCCGTGCCACCGCACGCTCCACCACCCCCCTCCCCCCATCTCCCTCCCATCTTCCTCCCTCCCTCGCCATCTCCTCCCATCCTGTATCGTCTGAATTTGCAATGCCATCCCAGACGGACGTTTTCCTACAGACTCGGACGTTAATTCCAGGAATCAAATCGTGGCCGTGCAAACAGAAATGCCTGCGTGAGCGAGGAGTTTGGACGGTGGTTCTCTTGTCGGATTTACCAATGTAAACAGTTATAAGAGTATATTCTTGGTTCTTTCGGTAAAGTCACGTAGAAGGGAAACAATAAAATAATAAAAATATAAAATAATAAAGTTATAAGAGTTCTGACTTAAAGCTTTCGTGACTGCAGGGATTCATATTCTTGGTTCTTTCGGTAAAGTCATGTAGAAGGGAAACAATAAAATAATTTTAAAATATATAATTGGTTTATATTTTTATTATTTTTTTTTTATTATTTTAATGTTTCCTTTCTACGTGACTTTACCGAAAGAACCAATAATGGTTATAAGAGTGTTTCGTGGGAGGTGGCCCTGTAACACTGTGGGGTTTTTTTAAATTCTGGCTTCCGATGAGTAACATGTTAAATGGTCTCAGCTTGGTCACTCCGCTGTTTGCACGCACAAATAAACTCCGTAGGTGTCCACTGCACAGTTCGTCATTTGTTTCCACACTCCTCTGACTTGTGCCAATATGCTCAAGTGGTGCCACATCATTTCTGCCACAAATCTCCTTAATCTCGCCAAGCCACTCTCTGTTAGGTCTTCCTCTCTAATCATTGCTTCGCCAAGATTAAAATAAAAATTTGGAATAAGCAAATTGCTTAAAAATGCGCTTGGATTTTAATGCCCGGATCGGTGCGGTCCCCGTAAAAACGCGCAGTGTGAAAGACTGATAAAAAATAAATCTATACGGGGCAGACGAGAGACGGTACAAATGAGGAGACCAGTGCACACAAGACAAAGGTTCAAACGAAACATTGTAGAAACATTAGGTGCACATGCTCGGGCTATATTCTACAACTAAACTGAACTAAATATTGATTTAAAGCTTTCGTGACTGCAGGGATTCATATTCTTGTTTTATATTTTTATTATTTTAGTGTTTCCTTTTTCTACGTGACTTTATCGAAAGAACCAATAATATAATCTGAACTATTTTTTTTTTTTATACCGGAGTAAGGCCCACTGAGCTGCGTAGCTCTTTGTCAGAAGCGAACCCTGGCAGTCGCAAATGACAGCTCAACGAAGTGGCTCATCGTCGTTTGGAAATGTAAAGCGGCCAAATACTCTAAACGTATGACGTTGATTCTAAATGTGAGGGGGGGGGGGAACCGGTGGGCCACAACGACCATGGGAAACGGAACATGCAAACTACCAAATATACAGCAGCAGGCGTCAGGGCTTAGGATCGAACCCACGACAATCTCCTGCGTACCGGGCAAGGGAGTTAACATCTCCGCGGCGCCCCGCGATCTAGACGAGGTGCCGTGAAGAGTTGAAGAGGTTTTTTTGTTGTTTTTTTAAACGCTACGGCTCTTTAAGTCTTTGGGAATGGCCCAGCGAGTGGCCGACGGCATTGTCGCTCGATTCCTGACATCCACGGTGTGAGCGTTCCGATCCACAATGCATTGAGGTCAGAGGGCTACCTTTTTGGTCAGTTCTATTGTCCTCGCAAGCAGGATTTACGGGCAATGAGTTCATTATGTATTGTCCCTCGGCTGTGATTAATAGCGTCGTTAAACGGTTCCGAGAGAAAATGTATTTCAATTCTCTCCCGTTCGTTGCTTATAATCGAATCGCCCGCTCCTTATCAAATCAAATGCATTGAATCGCCAAACAGACGAATCGATCATTGTCAAAGGAATGCATCGAATCGTCAGTCAGTTGATCTGGCCCAACTTACTGATCTGGCAGAATTGATCTGGCCCAACTAACTATTGAAGGGACCTCGCTTATCGTAGTCATGTGACCTAACCCTCTTGGGGGGCCATTCCTTGACGCAATGTCGTCTGCACCTAACCCAATAACTTTTAAGATACAATAAAAACAAGTGACATCCTATCCTACATTGTCACCCCCCCCCCCCCACCTCTTATACGTCGGTAATCAATAACAATCGCTAGCCTAATCCACTTGTGTTTTGCGTTACTTACGCGCGTGTGTGTGTGTGTGTGCACGTTATCGAGTTGAACTGTATCCCGTCCGTTGGCACAATGATCGGGCGTTACAAAACAAACTCAAGTCGGCCACGAGGATTTGGGATCTCTCTCCGCTGCTGTCTCATTAGCAGCGATGAACAACGGCGGAGAGAGGAGATTCGGTCGGTGGGGGGGGGGGCGTGTGTGTCTGTGTGAGAACAGACCCGGGAATTATTCCGCTCTTCGGGACGAATGTACCACAGAAGGGGGGTGGCGGTTGGGAGGGGATGGGAACGGGGGGGGGGGGGGGTGCTAGACATATTTTAATCGTGATGCAGCCGAGCACAGCGATACATTAATTATTTAGAGCAAAGTCAACTTTGAGAGCGAGCTTGTTCCGTTCATTGGCTCGCTTAATGATCTGAAGTCTGCCGGTCAGATTTTTTGGACGTGCCCGTTTGTGAATTGCATGGTATGTAATCCGCAATTCCCCAGGAGAAACTTAGACGTGTACTTGTACAGTGTGTCGTCGTGTTTTGGGGGGGCGGGCGGTGGGGTGTGTGGAAATGAGACCCTTGAGAATGTACTGTATACACAAGGCGAGGAAGATTCTACGGGAAACTGAAATGTTCGTGACCTCGGGCTCGTTGCCATCACCCGCAAAAGTCCGGTCGCACGAGAGAGAAATTCGCGCGGAATTTCATTTTTTTTTAAATTGGTAACTATCATTTCCAAAGTTGGCTTCGACGTTGCTAACTTTAACCCAATGGTGTGGATTTTTTGGCTGAGCGGGTGGCTTGTTTACGACGCAGTGCTGGTTTTTTGGCCCGCGTGTCATTTCGTCTGACTTAATTCACCTTTTCCCACTGCAACGCATTCGCAGACCCACCATTCACCACCCCCTCCCCCCCAAATTGGTGAATACGTGAATGT